GTGTGAGCTAGCTGCTATCAGACAGGCAAGGTCATACAAGCCTGCGCACTTTCACATCGCCATGGTGATGTGAAGGAATGAGATAAATGTAGAGAAGAGACACCCAGGCGTTGGAGGGGCAGTGTTCTGCACATGACCTTTGCCTGGCCCTCAACTCTACATCACCATTCCTAACATATTGGATTATCTGCTGGAAGGTATGAACAAGGGTTTATCACCTAGTACCATCCGCAGGCAGGTCGCGGCCTTGTCAACTATCCTTACCTGTGACAACTTGGTTCCTTTGTCGCAACATCCGACAGTTAGTGCCTTTCTAAAGGGGGCAGTTAACGCTAGACCGCCCGCGGTACATCATTATCCATCTTGGGACCTGCCTAGGGTGTTGCAGGCTCTGACCTCTCCTCCGTTCGAGCCTCTCAGCTCTTGTTCTCTTCATTTTCTGTCTTTGAAGTGGCATTCTTAGTAGCCATAACATCGGCTAGAAGGATTTCAAAATTGGCCGCACTCTCAGTCAGGAGTGATTTGTGCACCTTTTTCAAGGAAAGGGTAGTCCTCAGATTGGACCCTTCCTTCTTTCCAAAGGTTAATACCTGGTTTCACAGGTCTGGTTCTTCCAAATTTTTGTCCTAATCCATCACATCGTCTAGAAAGACAGTGGCATAAATTGGATGTGCGCAGGGCTCTACGCCATTATGTCAAGCGAACCTCGGCTTTTCGCAAGTCGGAGGCCTTCGTGTCTTTTCAACCCTCCGCCATGGGTCAGAAGGTCTCATCTTCGACCATTGGTAGGTGGATCAGAGCATGCATTGCTCGGGCCTATCTTTCTCAGTCACTTCCAGTTCCTGCGCACATCACAGCTCACTCGACGCCCAGTGCAGCTGCGTCAGCGGCCTGGTCCACCCAGACTTCGGTCGAGGAGATATGTAGGGCAGCGACGTGGTCCTCCTTCATTTGTCAGGCATTATAAGATTGATAGGTTTGCAGCGGCGGACACTGCATTTGGCAGACGGATTCTGCAACAAGTAGTTTCTTCTCAGGGGACACAAGCCTAGACTTTTCCCTCCCCGTAGGGACATGAGCGGCTTTGGTATGTCCCACCGGTGGATTTTACATTCATCATGCTGGAGAAGGGGCGTTCTCTTACCTGAACGCTTTTTCTCAGCACGATGATGTAGAATCCACACTCTCCCGTTAGGGTAGTCTAGGCTAGTGTCACGATTATTGGAGCCATTGCGCCAGACTTCGTCAGGGATACTTCGCCTCGTCAAAAACTGGGAAGACACACCCAGAGGGCGGCGTGCGTAAAGTTTTGACTTAGTCTCATCTGAGCAGGAAGGCCGAGGTGGCGCAGCAGTTAGAGTGCAGTACTGCAGGCCACTTTAGCTGACTGTGTTCAGCAGGTCAGCGGTTCAAATCTCACCGGCTCAAAGTTGACTCAGCCTTTCATCCTTCCGAGGTAGGTAAAATGAGGACCCAGATTGTTGGGGGCAATGTATATATATATATATATATATATATATATATATATATATATATATATTATATAATATATATATATATATATATATATATATATATGTTTTCTGAGGTTTTCGCGGGTATTTGTATATAGGTCTTTGGTTGTTCGGGTTTTCTCCCGCGTAAAATTGGAAGTGTCTTGGCAACGTTTCGACGAAGTCACATTCGTCATCTTCAGGCTGGTGTTTTTAGCTTCTTGCTTTGAGCAGCAATGTGTGGTTTTAGCTGTTTCTTCCTTTTAACTGCCAGTGAGGGTATGAACTGATTGGGTGGGAGCTTGGCTGTGTTCTGATTGGGTGGAGGTGTGTTCTGAATGGTTAGGGGCTTGGCTGTGCTCTGATTGGCTGGGGGAGTGTTCTGTTTGGTTGTGCTCAGGTTAGTCTGAGTTGCAGAGGGGTTTAAGATTTTGGGGTTAGGGAGTCGTTTGTCAATAAGGGCAGGTTTCCAAATGGCTGGTAGGCGGGAGGTATCATCTCGCTTGTTCATGCTGTGTGGGCGTTTTTCTATCTCGATGGCTTCTCTGATTATTCTGTTATTAAAATGTTCACTTTTGGCAATGGTTCTGGTATTTTTAAAGTCAATTTCATGTCCTGTGGCTTTAAGGTGTTGGACCAGGGAAGATGTTGGTTCCTCTTTTTTGACTGAGTTCTTATGTTCTTCAATGCGTGCACTTATTCTTCTGTTGGTTTGTCCGATGTATGTGGTGGGACAAGTGGTGCATGGGATTTCGTATACTCCTTGATTTTCTAATTCAATTTTATCTTTGGGGTTTCTAAGGATGGTGGATATTTTTCTGTTTGTGCAGAATGCTGTTTTGATGTTGTGTTTATGAAGGATCTTACTGATTCTGTCTGTGGTGCCTTTTATGTATGGGAGGAGGGCTTTGCCGTTTTCTTGTTCTTTGTCTTGGATTTTGGTGGGGGTTTCTTTTTGGATTAGGTTTGTAATCTTATTTCTATGGAATCCATTGGATGTTAGTACATTGGTGAGAGTGTGTAGTTCGGGTTTTAGGTGTTGTTCGTCAGCTAAGCGTTTTGTTCTGGAGATGAGTGTCTTGGCTACAGAGTTGATCTGTGCTGGGTGGTGGTGTGAGAGAGCGTGCAGATAGCGGTTTGTGTGTGTTTTCTTCTGGTAGATGGTGTGTCCTAGGGAGCCATTGGATTTCTTGTAGACTAAGACATCCAGGAAGGGAAGTTGGTTGTTAGCTTCTGTTTCCATGGTGAACTGTATTTTGGGGTGTAGGCTGTTGAGGTGTGTGAGGAAGTTGTCCAGTTTTTCTTTCCCATGTGGCCAGATTATGAAGGTGTCGTCTACGTATCTGAGCCAGAGTTTGGGTTTGTGATCCGATTTTTCTAGAGCTTGGGTTTCAAAGTGTTCCATGTAGAGGTTTGCAATGACAGGTGAGAGGGGTGATCCCATGGGTGCTCCTTCTGTTTGTTTGTATTTTTGTCCATTATAGATGAAGTATGTGTTGGATAGGCAGTGGTTGGTCAGATCTAAGATGTGTTTGGGGGGCGTTATATTTGTTTTGAATAGCTGTCAAGGCTTCTTTGATAGGCACTTGGGTGAAGAGGGATATGACATCGAAGCTCACTAGTAGGTCGCTGGGCTGTAAGCTTTGTTTCTTTATGATCTCTATAAACTGGAATGAGTTTTTTACGTGTGAGGTGATGGATTCTGCATAGGGCTGTAGTTGTTTGGCGAGAAATTTGGCTAGGTTTTGTAGAGGTGAGCCTATGGAGCTGACTATAGGTCTGAGTGGGGTTCCTTCTTTGTGTATCTTGGGGAGACCATAGAGTTTAGGGCATCTGGATGATTTCTCTCTGGGAATGATTCTTTGCTGGATCTCTTCGCTAATGGGGGAGGCTTTTATCTTGGTTCTGGTGGTTTTTTCCAGGTAGGTGGTGGGATCTGTATTTAGGGGTTTGTATGTTTGTATATATACATACATACATTGCTTACTGGTGTACACCGCTTAGAGAGTGCTTGCACTTAAAGCGGTATATAAGTCTCATAAATAAATAAAGAAAAGAAAGAAAGAAAAGAAAGAAAGAAAGAAAGAAAGACTGAAATTACCCACGGGTGGATTCTCCATTCTTCATGCTGAGAAAAGGCGTTCACCCCTTCTCCCCCCCTCCCCTGCTTTCGTGAGGATTGTGGCGCCCTTGGGAATCCGATCATGCTTTGAAGCTTAGGAGAGGAGGAAGTCCCTTCCTCCTTCCCTCCCTCTTGTGTCAGCTGGCGCAAGTTCGGAGGTCACCAGCTGACGGGCACAGGAGTTGGGTGCTGCAGCGGTCTCCCCTTCACTGACCTGCATGTATGAGAAGAAGTCAATCCGGTTGTTGCACAATGAGTCTCTGGGGAGGGCAGGGCCTTGCTCTGCGCCTGCGCTCTTCATGCGCCCCCTGCAGGGCACATTTGGTAGAGTTCGTGCAGACTGCCGCCAAGCAGCATATTTTCCACAAACAAGTGAGGTGGAGTGGAGGGGGGGAGGGAGAGAAGGCAGTTGACAAGCCCTGCCTAAGACCATCGGAAATATGTGTCGCGACCCACAGGTTGAGAACAGCTACCCTAGAAAGAGCGCAGAGAAGAACAACACGATAAGGAATCTGGAGCCTAAATCATATGATGTACAGCTAAAGGATCTAGTTATGTTTAGGGGAGACATGATAGCAGTATTCTAATACTTGAAGGGCTGTCATAAGAAGAAGGTGTTGATTTATTTTCCATAGCACCTGACGGCAGGACAAGAAGAATGGGTGCAAGCTTGTCAGAGGGAGATTCAATCTGGAAATAAGAGCAATTTCCTGACAGAGCAATTTGCCAGTAGAATAGCTTGCCCTTCTGAGTTGTGGATGCTGAGTTGTCTATGGAGTTACTGAGTTGTCTATGGAGATTCTCAGTCATTACTGGATATTTTCAAGAAAAGATTGGACAACCGTTTGATTGGGATGGTATAAAGATTCCTGTCTTAGGCAGGAGATGGATTAGAAGACCTTCAAGGTCCCTTCCAGTCCTATATATTCTGTGAGGGGAAGATTGTGTAAATAAATCCCAGGCCCATGAATCAATAAGTGTTCCTGATCTCTTACCATGATTGTAAAACCAGAAGCCCTGCCCACCTCACTCAGAATTTCTGTTAGAAAAATAATTTCTCTTGTTTCCCTAATGATTTTAATCATTTTTTAAATATAAAATCTGCAGTGCTATGGTTAATATTAAGCAAGATTTGAAATTAGTTGCAAATTTTGGTTAAGAGGAATGATGGTTAGACATAACTATTGCTAAAACTGATAGAGAAAAGGAGTATGATTGACAGTTAACATTAAGAGTTTTCATTCATGAACTGAAGAAATATTGGGCTTTTGGCTTTCCTTTCCAAGACATTGAATAATTAATAGCCTGGTATGATAGCTGTGGTGTATGGAAATCACATTTTTTTCAGATACCGATAAAGCTGAGTTATCTTTAATTGTTTACAGATTTGTACCTGAAACTGGAAGATGTGACACACAGATTTAAGAAACCATGCATAATGGATGTAAAAATAGGCCAGAAAAGCTATGATCCATATGCTTCAGAAGAGAAGATAAAGCAACAAATCAGCAAATACCCACTAATGGAAGAGATTGGGTTTTTGGTGCTTGGCATGAGGGTAAGCTGTCTGTTGGATTTTAATTAGAGTGTGCCCTTGAAGAGATGTGTGCAACATAAGCTTGTTCCAGATGATTTTTTTTCTTATGAAGAGAATTAAGGATTGGTTTGGAGTTCATATATTTTCCTTATATACAACTTTCACATAAGCAGGAAACATTTCCTGTTTTCATCATTACAGATAGCCCTCAAGTTATGACCAAATATTTAATGGTTGTTTGCAATTACGACAGCCTCATTAAAGGATGTTTTATCGCCTGTAAAGATTTCTGATTATCGTAAAATGTCACATTGCCCCCTCTGATCATGTGATTGTGATCTAGGCCTTGACAACCTGATTGCACTCATGACCAGTAGCCAAGTGCCCCACAATCACATAATTGCCATTTGCAGTCCTCTCTGCTGGCTTACGCCGGAAAGCTAATGGGGAAGCTGGGAGGGGCAAGTTGCAAGCTGCTCCCACTTGCAGTGCAGCTGAGATTTCCCCCCCAAGCACAGGCAATTGTATTTCTCCTTCCTGCCAGAGGAGTTAATCTCCCTTCTGTATATGAAAGAGAACTGCTCCAGCAGCTGCAGGAACAGAGCTGGGATCTTTGAGACCTGAGCTCCATTTCTGCAGCCTATGATGGAATTTCCTGCTGTGCATGGAGGGGAGGGAACTTCTCTGAAGTGTTGCAGAAATGGAGCTCTGATCCCAAAGATCCGAGCTCCATTTCTGCAACCCACCAGAGTACTTCCAGTGGTGGGATTCAGCCGGTTTGCACTGGTAGCTACATTTTTTTGAGTTCGGAGAACCGGCTGGAGGAGGCCTCCCAGGCCTAGAACAGCCCGCCGGACGTGCATGGATGCCACTTCTGGAAGTCTGTTCTAGGCCTCGAAGGCATAGAAAAGATCTGCATCCACTCAGAGAACCGGTTGTTCAGGTATTTCAATCCCACCACTAAGTAGTTCCCTTCCATGTTCCAAAGGGACTGGTGGGATGGAGAAATAAAGCTCCAAACCCAAAGATCCTAGCTCCATTCTGCAGCCATTAGTATTCTAGGATTTTTGTGGTTACCTTTTAATTATTTGAGTGGAATACTATATAGGTACTACTGTATAAGCCAGAAAATAACCTAGATAGTTTGTTTCTCCTCAACGGAAGAATAAATACATCCCTGTTGAAGACTGGCATAGATTTTATATGATTAAAATCTGTAGGTTCTCTTACTATATAAATACATACTTTGTGAGAGATTTATATTTGTTATCGTTTCATGCACCTTCAAGGTGTTTACAGTAGCAACATTATTATCTAAAGGGCTTTGGTAAGTTAACTTACAACTTTATTGTAGAAAAATATTTTGGATTTTTTAAAAAACTACTTATTACATCAAAATTATGGCTGGACAAGAAAAGTGACTCCACTTGGCAGATTGAAAAAGTGACGTTACTTTACGTGAGTAGTTCTTCTTCTTACTTACAAGTAATCCTTGTTTGGCTACCACAATTGTGATCAGCAACTCAGTCATTAAGCAAAATGGTCACTAAATAAAACTGCAGCTGCTTACAATCTTATAGTACTTCAGTTTTCCTTTCTTTACACATCTGCAAAGGATTTAATTGTGAAGACTGGATGTAAACTTTTCATCACTGTTGTAACTATGAGTGGTTGTTAAACAAGGACTATCTGTATACAGAGAGTTATAATGAAATATAGTTACCTTTTATTGAAACTGTTGAGTACAGTTTTATATGCATGTACAGATATATGACAAGTCCTTAAATATAGCAATAGCACTTAGATCAGGGGTGATACTCAATTTCATTGAGGGCCGCATCAGCATTGTGGTTGCCCTTGGGGGGGTGGGGGGGTGTGGCCACAATGCGTATGGCCTACTGGGTGGGCATGGATGGAGTGGGTGTGGCAAGCTTTACATTGTCCACGTCAAGGGTGCCTATGGGGGCCTGGGCAGGAGTGGGACAGATCTGAGGGTCTCTGGCAGAAGGGGGTGTGACCAGGGCAAGTGCCAAGACATGGTCCACTGGAGCAGTGGTTCTCAACCTTTTTAATGCCGCGACCCCCAACTGGTCGTAAGTCGAGGACTACCCAATCAGTTGTAAGTCGAGGACTTTCCCTGCCCGGGAGCGCTGCACATGCGTGGTGCCCCCTGCGCCAACCGAGGCGTAGCTGGCAAGCGGCAGAGACGGATCAGGCCGACCACCGGCTGGGCCACCAGCTGGCCCAGCCCAAGGGAGGTAAGGCACCCGCCGGTCCCCACGCGTGCCAGCAACCCTCCCTGCGCCCCCGGCCTCCCACCCCTGGCTCTCTTTTACTTACATTTTTAGTAGTTGCTCAGCAGGGAGGGGTGGAAACTTCCAGACAACTTGCAGCACCGTTTGCAGAATGGGACTTTTGGCGGGCTCAGCAGGGCAGAGACAGCCTGGACAATTCCTATTGGCTTTTGAAAGCCAATAGAATTAGACTCTATTCAAGAGAGTCTATTCTATTGGCTTTCAAAAGCCAATAGAATAAAAGGGAGTAGCACAGCTAAGGAAAAGGGGGAAAAAATGGCGGACTGCGTTGTTTGGTGACCCCCGTGAAATGGTCGTTCGACCCGAAAAGGGGTCCCGACCCACAGGTTGAGAACCGCTGCACTGGAGGAACCTCACTGTTTCTCTCAGGCCATGCAAGGGGGACTGGATGGTGGCACGGGCTGCCCAGCCTGGCCCTCGAGCACCCACGGCACCAAGCCCAGCCCCCCTTCCCCAAGGTAGCACCCAGCTGCACTTACCTCCTCTTCAAGGCTGCTGCTGCTGTGCTTGCTCTCCTTACCCAGGTTGCTCATGATGGGTACAAGGGCAAAGTCAGAGGGAGGCCCATTCCCTCTCCATGGGAGGAGACCCAGCTTTGTATCTGAAGCTTCCTTAGCAATAGGATGGGAGACCCCCAGGATAGGCCAGGAGGAGGGGGCAAGGGGATGTTGAAAGGGCAACAGGGCAGGACCAAGGCAGGACTTCCTTCAGACCCTCCCTCTTTCTTTTCTTCCTTCCTAATTACAGAGTGGTGGGAAAATATTTGAGATGAGGGAGGGAGAAAAACAGGCAAGAAATGCAGCTGGGGAGGTATCACCCTTTGTGAGGAATGAAGAAATGCACCATCGCCTGGAAGTGGCCAGTACATGGCCCTCATCTACTTCACATATCTGGCTTGGTGGACTCTGGGAGAGGGGGTGCCATGAGCAGCATCAGAATCAACATTACCTGTGCAATGCCACCCAGCCCCCAGCCTCCCCGGTTTTGGCAGGCAGCGGGGCGCTCTCCTCACAGCGCTGAGAGGTTGAGCCGGGTGGTGCGAAGCTCATCAGCTTAGCACCTTGCTGCCTGCTGAAACTGGGCAGGCTGGGGGCTAGGCAGCATTACACTTCTCAACAGATTCATGCCACCCGACCTCCACAAAATTGTACATTGGCTCCCTCCCGGCCGGCCTGGGCCAGGACCACGGCAGCGGGGGCCATTCCCTCACTGTTTCCAGGGTGGCTTCGCGGGCCACATGAAACCATTTTGCGGGCCGCATCCAGCCCCTGGGCCTTGTGTTTGACATGTCTGACTTAGACTTATATACCGCTTCACAGTGCTTTACAGCCCTCTCTAAGTAGTTTACAAAGTCAGCATGTTGCCCTCCAACAATTTTACCCATCTCAGAAGGATGGAAGGCTGAGTCAACCTTGAGCCAGTCAGGATTGAACTCCTGGAGTGAGCAGTGAGTTAGCCTGTAGTACTGCATTCTAACCACTGCGCCACTATGGCTGTGGTGATTGTTTGGTGATTTGTGATTATTTTGCTGTTTATTTAAAAGTATTTTGCTATTTAATTAATTATGAAAATGCATTTTATAAAAGCACAGAGTTTAAGCAAGAAATTTCTAGATTTTCTTTCTAAATGTTTTCTAGATTTTTTTTTTTAAAAAGTTGCTACTGTATCTGGTTATATACATTTATATTTTTGGTTTAGTTTCTAGAAATTTGAATGTACCAAATATTTATATTCTCTGAATCAAATTTTGCTTTGCTATGATTTTTAGTTAATTTAGATTCTCAATAAAACATAAAGCTATCAATCTTCATAGGGCAATTGATTTGAAGGAATATGTCTGACAATTCCTCAATATTATACACAAAATATTCATTTGCATTCATTTGTTTCTTTGATTATACTATAAATAAAGCATTATGATACTTCTTTAAAAAAATACCCTATTCTTGTGTTTTACAAAGATCTAACTAGATCTAACTCCTCAAATTCTTTCAGACTTCTGTGGTCTGAGGCAAAATGTTTTAATGTAAGTGTAACATTAAGCTAGAATAAAAATGAAAAAAAAAAAGTTTCAAGATATGAGCTAGACATTTCTCTTTTCTTTTTTAAAGGTTTATCATGTCCCTACTGGTAGCTATGAGACACAGAACCAGCATTATGGAAGAGGATTAACAAAAGAAACGATAAAAGATGGTAATCTTTGTATAAAAGCACTATATTAAACAAATGACTTTTTAAAAGGTACAGTCAGGCTAGAGTTTGTGTTATGGACTTTGAACCATGTGTGCCTGGTAATTAAGAAAGTAGTTGTTGATAATATAATATAACAGAATGCCAAATGAGACAAAGAAGTAGCATGTTTTTTTAACCAGAGTTGGTGCTGTTGTAAAATATAGTTGGAGACATTTTCCAGTAGTATTTATAGAAGGGATAAAGCTATTTTATGCACAAATCTCTTACTGTGAATGATGAGTAAAAAGACTGAGCATTAATATTGTGCTTTATATTGAGAACAATGTGGTATAGCACTTAAGGTGCTGGAGTTGGATTGACGAGGCCCATGTTCTAGTCATCCATTAGGTATACAAGTCATAGTTTAGGTGACTTTGCTCACTTATTCTTAGGACAAGAGTTGCAAAACCTCTATATACCAATCAGTATTGGACTAGCATGAGGCTCCAGAACCTTCTGGAAAAAGGCCTTCATTCTATGCTTTTTAAAGACATCTGTGATTGAAGCAGCACATAAGCCTTAGTAATAAATAAATTACAGCATATCAGGAGAAAAGGTAGTTATAAATCTCTGAAGAATGAATTAATTACCCATCCTATTTATTCATTTATTTATTTAGATTTAGAAGCACAAATGCCCTTTCTTTTACATAATTAAAAAGAAAGGATAACAAAAAAGAAAACTGGTGCAGCTGAACAAAGCATGTTTATCATGTTTTAAATGATAAAAAATCTGCCAGACTAGAGTACAGTTAGGTTTTTAAAGACTTGTGGAAATCTTATAGGTTTGGAGCTGTGTGGAACTTGGGGGGAGGAGGGAATGCTGTTCTAGAGGGCAGGTGCTGTGGCAGAGAAGGCATACTTCTGGGGTCCCACTAGATGATGTTGCTTGATAGAAGGTGCTCAGAATGCCTCCATTCTGTCTGATCTTGGCAATCTTTTAGCTATGTTTTTTTAAAAATATATATGGACTGCTAGTAAATAATGAATCCTGCAGATGGCCTGTCATTTATTGCTGTTCTAGTTGATGGCAGTGAGAAAAAGTTTTTGAAACCTGTAAAATTATTTGCTCTCTTGTAGTGCTGTAACCTGAAATAAACAGAGGTGCACTTAGGCCCTATTATTAGATACAGAGATTCTGGTTAAACAAAGAACACCCAGAAAAAAATACTATGTCATGTTTATTGAACTCATTGAACCGATGTTCACTGTCTTTGAATAAAAATGTGAAGTCCTCTAAGACTATGAACTTTTAAACAGTAAAAGTTGAATCAAATATTCCAATCAATAGATCATAATTAGAAGTGAATTTGAAGGCTTTCTTCAAACAAAAACAAATCAACAAAAAGACAAGTAGCTCTATCCAACACTTGGTTATGGAAGCAAACCATAACCTAATTATAAGAGGTCTTTGCCAAACTCAGAAAAGGGGCTGCTAATAGTTAGCAGACTGGAAAGGGCAACAAATTTTTTTGGCCACTCTCTATTTCTAGTCAGATTGACAGTATATAAATTGAGAAGTACAATGCCATTTTCACTCTGCCAGGAATGGTTGTCCAACAAAAATATCCCAAGAACAAGGTCTGCAATAATTTGCATTATAAAGAAAACACTGAAAAAGAGTAGTATGCATGAGAAGATGGAATCTTCTCTCCAGGAAACATTGCTGTTCATTTCAGATTTTCTGAAGACCACCTGGATGCCCCAGAGGCCACACTATGGGCAGATAAACTGAATGGAAATTTTGGCATTAATAACAAATTTTATGTTTGGAGAAAAAACATTGAATTCGAATAAAGGATTTCATCCTTTAGACCAGGGGTAGGCAACCTTGGCTCTTTTATGACTCGTGAACTTCAACTCCCAGAATTCCTGAGCCAGCCAAAGGTTGCCTACCCCTGCTTTAGACCATCACTCATGCCCTAGTTACCTCAAGATTTTCGCAGTGCACTTTATGTAAGATTGTTTTCAAATGGCTTGAAAGCTTCAGCTGGGCCAGAATACAACAGTGCAGGCAATGATGAGTATTCTTATGTGACACTTCTACTCTGTGAGTTGCACTGGTTTCCTCTCTGCTTCTGGGTATGATTCAAAGTTCTCTTTATTACTTACAAAGGCCTCCATGACATAGGGCTAGCTTACCTGAGGGACTGCCTATCTCTCATTGTTTCTACCCAGTTTCTACAAGTGTTGGGTCTCTTCAATAAACAGTGTCATCTATTGGGACCCCAGAAGGGTATCTTGCAACACTTATTCTTTGGATTGAATTCTCCCTGAAATTTGCATGGCTCCACCATACTGATGTTTTAATTCAACACAGTAAATTAAAATAGTTCTGTGAGGAGGAATGAGGACAAAGTTCCCTTAAACCGCTATGTGAGATTGATGAAGGACAAACAAGAAACATTTTGCAATAATTGCTGCTAAAGGAACTGCCACCAGTTAGTTTAAAACAAGGGTCTTTAAACTTGGCAACTTTAAGACTTGTGTACTTCAACTCCCAGAATTCCTCAGTCTAAAACAGGGGTGTCAAACTGCTGGCCTGCAGGCCAGATGCGTCATCTGGAAGCCACACCCATCCCATTGCCAGCAATGGCAAAACCGTCCCGATACGTTACACGACATCACGTGATGTCGTGAGTTTGACATGTTTGGTCTAAAACTTCACACACTTTTTTCAAGCGAGTGAACTTTGGTTCAATGTATTCAGTAAGAACATATAATATTTACCCCAATTTTTGTTTATCTACTAAAACGACTCAACTAAAACTCAGATCACCTTGCAAGACACAAAGCTGCAAGGTTGTAGGTAATTCTAACGAGTTCACTAATTCCTTTCACCACTGTATATAATTGAGTTGTGGAAACAGAAGTACCGTATACTTGGCAACTGTATGAACTTCTGATTATTTCAAGCCTGTCATTTGTCCTTTCACCGTAAATTTCTGCAATTAATTTTGAAAACTAAAAATGCAAACTTAGGGCAGTAATACATATTGCTGAACTTTTGTAGTGCCAATTTAATCCTGAATTCTGTTAGATTATGATATTTGCCTGCTAATTGTTTTTGTTTCTTTTGTAGGTGTGGCTCAGTTTTTCTATAATGGATTCACTCTGAGAAAAGACGCTGTAGCTGTTAGTATTCAAAAGATTAAAGAAATCTTGCACTGGTTTGAGAGCCAGAAGCAACTTAACTTTTATGCAAGTTCTTTACTATTTGTCTATGACGGTTGGTCTCCGTGGTTAAATGATGGCTGTTTGGTTGAGAAGAACAAAGTAGCCAAGGACCAAGTGCCAAGTGATAGTACAGATAATACATTGGAATGCAACAACAATATTCATATCATCAATGCCTCAGAAACGGGGAAGGTAGAGACTTCAGATGGCAAAGATTTTTCTAAAACATATACTTTTCACAACAGGCACCAGAATCAGTTTTTGTTAAGAGACCATCTATGGAAGAGCAGTTCTTCCTTTTCACAAAAACATTTGAATGGAAATGTTATACCTCAGCTTGAAAAAGTTTTCAGCCAAATGCCCATGTCTCTTCCAGGAAATGAAGAAGTTGAAGTCCGGATGATAGATTTTGCTCATGTATTCCCTAGTGCTATGCGAGATGAAGGTTACATTTATGGGCTGAAAAACTTAATTACTGTCCTTCAGAATATTTTAGATAACTAAATTTTTGCAGTGATTTTTACTGAGGGCCAAATATAATGAAAAGCAACAACATTTCTGCACTTGTGATCCTTAGTTTATATTCTACATTTTCTTGTCTTTATACTTTTGGTAGAATTACCAGGTATTTTATAACGTTACTCAGGAAAATTATTCTGTAATTAGTAAAAGAAAAAGCTAATGAGATTTAACTGGTAGTTATAGGAATCTACAGTTAACAAACAAAGCCTATCTGATATTGGATATATCTTGCATTGGTTGAAATGACTTGAGTTATTTTACATACTTACGTATTTTAATTGAAAACCTGTCATGCAGCCATAATGTTGAGCCATATCTCTCCTGGAATACTAGAAATCATTAGAGAATACTAAAATTAAAATTTAACAGACTATTCAGGATGAGGGGGCATCCATTAAATTGAAATTTATATCGCTTTTGTGAATTTACATTGTTTGCATAACTACATAATAGACAAATAATATCATTTGCAGTAAAATAATGTAGCAGAGAAATCTTTCATTTGACAGAAAAACTTGCATTGAAGTCTGAGCAAAATGTTAGACCATTATATCAAAAGACCACCAAACTGGGGTCCATTAAATTAAAAGTTTACTGTATTATTCTTGAATATTTGATATATTTTTAAAACTGGAGCTAATAATATTTTTAAGGAGTACATATTTAAAAACTATTCTAGTGTAACTGATTTTTTTTTAGTGAAAGATAATCATGTTCTGCATTATTAAACTTGGGTAGAAGTGTTAATCTTTTCATGGCCAAATATTCGTAATATGTAACATTCCCCTCTAAATTTATGAAATAGAAATGAGCCATCTAAAGAGAAGCTTGCGTTTTGGAGGTTCTATTAGAAAATGAATAATAAAATAGTTAATCAAAAATAGTTTTAGTTATTGCAAAGGGGGTGCAGAGTGTAGTCTAATGTCTGAAGCTACTTTTTAAATAACTTCTTAGTATGAACAAATGGTATTCATTATACAGGTTTGGATTTGCAAATGGAAGATTGGATTTGCTTTGTAGAAGAAAGAGGAATATTGTAAAAAGCTCCTTTGGAGGAAAGGATAATAGAACAGTGATTTTCATTTAACCCTTTCCCCTATTTCATTCCTAAACAGTGTGGAAAGTGATGCTGGGAATTGTATAGAAAAGGAGGAATTCATAACAATTGTCCTTACATTCATTTCCTTCAGTTCAATAGAACTTTGTGCTGATATGAATTCAATTTTTAAACTGGTGGATAGTTGACATTAAATAGCAGTAGTTTAAATTTTACATTTATATTTTATATTCCAAATGTGTTATATAAATCTCTATTAAGTAGTTTTGTTGTAGGTTATAAAGAAAGCCTTAATATCAGATATTCAAAGGTAATATTAATTTAAGAGTGAAATCAAGAATTCGGTCTTCTGTCAGTAATTTAAGCCATATTGTTGAAAAATAATTGCTATGCAGAATTGTGCGAATCAGTTTTCTTGATCATTGGTAGCTTATTCTACTGTAGTTTCTCATTAACTGTTATCAGTTAATTTGGCTATATCTGTATATTTGCTGCAGCCTGGGAATGTTTCCATTGTAGGCCAGTTAAGAACATATAATTCTACATCTTTCAGGCAATAACCTCTGTGCTTCATAGTATTTGTAGTGTAATTATTTTTTTGCTAATAGTTTAAGGTTCTGGAATAGTAAGTACTGACATCAAATTTTCAAGTTTTGTAATTGAGTCATAAATATAGTTAATGTAAATTATTCTTTTTGGAAAGTAAACTGCTTTAAATTGGAAACTAGGGAGAATTGGTTACAGTTGCCCAAGTAACCCTTCATTTTTTTATCTAATGAAAAGCATATTCCAGTTACTTTTATTGTCTACCAGTTTTTAAACAGTTGTGAAATAAACATTTTGCAATTTTCATATGTGAACAAATCTCATATACATATACATATACATATATACATATATAAACATACACACACACACACACACACACACACACACACACACACACACATCCATCCATCCTTTGGATATATAAGTGTAGAACTGATCTTTATATTTCATTTTCTATTCTAATCCTTCAGCTTATTCTGTATGTTACAACTCTGTGTATAGAGGATACAGATGGAATAATTTATAGTCATGTTATGGAGGAATTGTCTCAGTTTTACCCATTTAACTGCTTGCTTCTAATTGAAATGAATTTGAGAGCCTGCATGTTAAGAGTCTGTAAAATAGCAATTATTTTGAGCTTCAGATTTAAGTCTGTAGTTAGAACAAGGAGTATTTTAGTATCTGATCTAAAGTGTGTTCAAATTAAGTTACATTTCTTTGGAAGGAAGATTTCTAAACTCCTTAGGAATAGATATAAATAACAACTAATGACAACTACTTTGTAGCTGTCCCAAACACCACTGATATTGACAAGCTTATCCTTACCACTAATGCAGAATCTTAAATATTGCTTCCAATGAGATTAAGAAGATGCTCCCTTAAAATATATTATATGAAAAATTATGTACAAACTAATATAAGAATTTAAATTCTATAATTTTTTTATAGCCGAACAGTTTCATTCTTGGTATTTTGGATATTTTGCTTCTTGTTGCATAGATCTATTTAAAACTATGGTGTTATGAAATGTTAAAACTATTTTATCTTACTAATTTTGCAGAATTATGCAGTTGTGTATAATCATGTTTCATATGAAGGGCATATATTGAGATGGGAGTTATTTTTGTTGTACAGGAAAATGGAAATTTCTGCTTATGTTAGATACCATTCCATAATAGATTGTTACATTTTAGGAAGGGACTATTTTCTGTTAATGTGCACCTAATACAAAACTTGATAGATTATATCCTTGACGTATCTGAAAATAAATCCCCTGAAATTCGCAGAAGTCATTATAATGTTAAGCCCCCATCTGAAATAGTAGATTTAAAGTTTATATAAAAATATGTGATCTTTATCAAAGTGGAAAGAACTGCCCAAGTTTTGAGAGAAAAAAACCCCACATCAGATGTACTAGTTTAGAAAGCGAAAAGGGCACAACCACTTCCATGTAAACCATTTTCAAATGGTTTATATTACTCTTTTAAAAGACTGCAGCTTGTATAAATAGTCATTCCTTTTTATCCAAATTATTTTTAAATTAACATTATTTGCAATAACATCCTCTACTGAGTGCCTTCTGCTTCATGTTTGATACCATTTAAATGACATTATACAACATCCAGGGTGACAGAATGGAATGCTTTAATTGAAAGCTTGAACATAGTAATACCCCACGATAGTTCAAGAACACTGTTGTAATATTTTATGTTCATCTTAAAACCATTTTTTGCTGGTAAAAGTTCTATTTCTTCGATTATGAATTGTGTTTACAAATCCACAAATTAACCACATATTCAGGAACTAAAGCTCTTTGTCCTGCCAGATGTAGGGCTCAGGGGATGTTGTGTGGGTCTCTGTTTACAGTACCAGTGGAGGCAATGAGATCTATAGCCGGAGCAATTTGGGAGTGGCACATTTGACAGAAGGGAAATTGGGATGTAGACTGACATAGTTCCCTATCTTTTCTTCCCTGGATCTCCCTCATATCTGACCAGGATACTTAAAAACTAGAAACTTAATATGCAGTCACATGGAACCCTATGGCTTGTTGATGCTCAATTAGAATTAGTTGATTATAATTTTTGGTTAGAGGGATTTCCATCTTTCTGACTATGAATAGGCCTTTAGATTTATGAAAATGAGCTGAATATGAGCCTCCACATCATACCTGGTAAACAGTTTGAACAAGACAAGTTTGACTTGTAGATTAAAGTAAGCAAGATTGTTTTGTAATTCACACTGAATTGAATACAGTTTTTTTTCCTTAAAGTGGAATTCTTGCAAATCATCTCCCTTGAAAAGCTTTATATCATTTCCCCCCCTTTTTTCTGTATTAATATTTCTTACTGGTGAATCATTGCATTTAGGTGTAGAATGATGGGCCATTCAACTGTGAAATGTTACTCCATGACATATCTACAAGCTACATACTGCACACTTATAATTGTGAATTATGGTTCACTGAAGAGTTTATGCACATTTAAAACTTCCATACTATGAATAGTCATATTAATCTTGCCTCTTTTTTAACATAAATTAATTTATTTGTCCTTAGTTTTGTAGGAATGGCTTCTTTGTATTTAAAATTGTTCATTATGTTAGATCTTATATATAAATTAGCAACAGGAAAAGGAAAACAACAGTGATATTGGGAACAAATATATTTTTACACATTGTCAAAGTGGTATGCTTTCACAACATAACATTGGCACTGGATAGAAAATCTCAACTGGCTGAACTGACATTGAATTAAAACATCCAAATATGATGATATTGCACATCTTACCATGAATGATATAAGTGACATAAGCACTTTAATATTGTGGGAACTGTACTGAAAAATACATGGAAACATGAAATTGCACCTATAGCTACTGTGTATTAATTTGCAGTTTGTGATGGATAGGTGAAAGGGAGAATTTTACTACTTTAAGTGTATTGTATCTGAATGAATGTACTTAGTTTGATCTCATTTATTTCTTATTCAAGAACAATGGATTGTGTTGTGCAGTATTCTTTAATGGGTTTATTTGTATTATAAATGATAATTTAGGCAGGGGGCACTTACAGACGTGCAGAGATTTGTTGGTTATTTTATCATTTTAAAAACCCTATTATGCTATATATAAAGCAATCATTTTGTAATTTATGTGATATTTAGATAATTCTTATAGCTGTATATTTGGCTGACTATTAAAATTTCTTTAATTTATCTTGACATTTTCCTTGTTTTTAAGTAATGCTTCTTTTAGTATGAAAAAGCATTTTCCTATCTATTCAAGATATGAAAAACCCTCACAAATACAATCAAGCCTTTCATAGCTTCCTTACTAAATATCAGTATCCTTGATGATAGAATAAATTAGGTAAGATAGAAATTTGAGAAATTTAGATGAAAGTTGAAGAGGGATAAGGAACACATAGCAAAAGAGATGGTGAAGGGGGTGGATAAGCAAGGGTAAGATGGCTTCCTGTTGTGTAGCTAAATTCTATTGTGTCAGGATCTCACTAAGAAATGTCTGACAAGCTTCATCTATTTTAGGTACCACTGAAAACAAGTTTATTGCAGAAAATGGTTTGACACTGCTACTTTTACCATGAATATTAATGGTAATACGGTGTAGAGTTCCATTTTAGGCTGCTAACTTCGATCAAACAGTAAATCAGCTATTTTATTCACCTATTTACCAGCTATTTTATCCACTCAGGACCACTTGTAGATGTGAGAAAAACAATACCAGAGTAACAGATGACAGCAGTACAAAATCTGGCTTGGTAGACTCTCTAAAACTATTCCTCAACTGGGTCATTGATACATTTAACTGATCAGTGACAACCAATTAATTCATCAAAGTTGACAGTGCACCTGGCTGAGCAGCAATTGAAGGAGCTGTGCTAATTGGAACGCATCCCTCAATCCTCTAATGTTGAGAAGTTTCCTAGGGACCCTAATTACTTTTGAAAAGCCCTTGTGTAGTGTTGCAGGAAAACTCTGCCCACAGCCGGAGTTCAATCCTGGTGGAGTTCAAGGTTGACTCAGTCTTCCATCCTTCTGAAGTTGGTAAATTGAGGACCTAGATTGTTGGAGGCATTATGCAAATAATGTTTAACTCCCCAGAGAGTGCTGTAAAGTGCTGTGAGGCAGTATATAATTCTAAAATGCTAAATGCTGTGCTATTGCTATTCCCATTTTTCCTTTGACAAAGCCTCTTGATACTGTAACTTTTGTTTCTACTCGGTATCCTTATGGAATGTTGAAGCTGAACTTGCTTTCATTTCTCTAAAATAATTGCTTTCTACATCTCTGCTTGGGAAAGACTTTATTTTTAAAAAACAGTCTGTTCCATACTGCCGCAAAGAGAATGGATTTGCTAATGAACAAATGAGACAGCCATAGGCTCCTCATCTTAAACCTGTAGCATATTATTTTATAGATTTGATCCTGGCAGATCTGCTACACTGTTGTGGGCTGTTGCTAAAATCCTTTGTTTTCTCAAAAAATGACAAAGCATGCAATTGGGATATACCAGTCCAGTAGTTGTCCCTCATGCTGCTTAGGTCCTCTTCAGATACCACCTTTTCCCTGTCAGAATAATGTTTATGGTATGAAGCAATTTTGCTAGTAACTAAAATTATGGTCTTAATTCGCTGCCCACTTTGGCTACTGCTCCCTTTTCCCTGACCCAAAAGTAGCCTTCCCTAACAAATTGTTACATGACTGAATTATTTTCAGCTTTGATTATATCCTGATTTGGGAATATCAACGGAAGGCTTGCCTGGGTGCCTGGTTGACGGGATCTCACCACAATGTATTATATTGAGGGAAAGTTACAGTCCTATAAGATCAACAGATCTTCTGTACAGTGTCAGAATCCAATTATATTTCATCTTTAAATTATCAAATATAGAAACTCCCAATTCTGCCTTCTCTGGATCCTGCCATAAGAGGGAGAGAAGGGGGAGAACAAAGGGGTTTTATGGCCCTCACTTCCTTCTTTACACTTCAAAGAGCGGAATGCTGAATGTGTGTTTATTGTAACCTCGAAGCGTTAGCATACCAAAGGAGGGTAGTTGCCTTTCATGTAGTTATCTGAAGTCCCCATCCAGACGGAAGAAAGAAGAAAGGGGGCGGAATTGTGATACTTGAAACTATCACTGGAAGGGGGGTTGATTGGGTGGGACTACTGGGGAACCCCTTAAAACCTTGAATGGAAGAGCTTGAACCCCAAGTCCTGTCTAGCATGCCTGCAACCATTTTCTCTTAATAAAGGATTCCTGTTGGAAGAATTATTCCAAGAGTTCTGTCTTCTTAAGATGCAAAGTGGGGTGGGTCCTTACATACAGACTATTCCCCAGGATGGCCAACTCATCCCTCTTTCCATAGAAGTACAATAGCCCAGCAACAATCATGAATAATCTGGTTTTTTTTTCAATTTCTTTGGACTCATGGTGTAAAACATGCAGCCTTGAAACTCTTTGATTCGACATATTTCTGCATCTCAACATTTCTGAAAACTGTTGATTTCAATTTATTTTTAAAATTATTTAAACAATTATTACCATTTACAATGGGAGGGGAGATTATAGTAGGGAGCTGAACCAGCATATTATGAAGTTTTTCAAAGCTTGGACATCTGCTTTTGTTCTTTAGGATAACAAATGTTTGGCTAATCCACGTCAAGCTTGTATACCCAATGCCATTTACTCACTCCCCCCATTCCCTTTTCCATTTTTGTCTACATTCATTTAAAAGAAACATCTGGTGAGATCTGCACATGCTCACTGCAAGGTATATGCAGTACAAACGTAAATGCAGTACAATGCAGTGAGCCATGTGCAGATCTGTACATTGGGGTAACAAAACAACCACTTCATAAATTCATGGCACAACACAGGAGAACAAACTCATCAGGACAAAATTCAGCAGTCCATCTGCATTTAAAAGACAAAGGCCACTCTTTCAATGACAGCAAAGTCCATATTTTGGACAGAGGACCGCTGGTTTGAAAGAGGGGTCAAAGAGGCCATCTATGTCAAAATTGAACAGCCTTCTCCCAACAGAGGGGGAGGGATCTGACATCCTCTATCTCCGGTCTACAACACAGTCCTTTCAACAGTTCCAAGAAGGCTCCACACCCATTTACACTACTCAGATGACCCTAAAGACACAGATAAGCCTCTAGGTAGCTTTAATTCAGGGGTCTTCAAACTTGGCCCTTTTATGACTTGTGGACTTCAACTCATTGAAGTCCACAAGTCATAAAAGAGCCAGGTTTGAAGACCCCAGCTTTAACAACTCTAAAAGAATGCAAATGGCCAGCTGTCTGCAAGGAGTATAAATCTTTCCATTTCCCACCATCCAGTCAGACCTGAAGAAGCTTCTTGGGCGAGAAGTGAAACATCTTCAAAGAAAAACAAAGTCCAGTTGCCTCCTGAAAAAACACCTTTGGGATTCTAACTGTATAAGCAAGTTGGCTGTTTTAACTTAGATCACAGATTGGGTTGCCTCCCTTTATGCTTTGGCTACCTCTACTGAAAAAGCAGGTTTTCCAAATGATTTATACAGATACGTTTGGACTGATGTCATGTAAACATAAATAAACAATTCATAATGCAATAACAAGCAGCATATTAATAGTTTGCAGTAAATTATGTTCATGTATTTATTTTCATGGTGAGAAAAGCACAAAGCAATTTGTTCAATGGAGAGTCAACAAATTGTATAGATTGCAATATTTGCTTACGAATAACTCTTATCTTGAGAATTCCTCTTTGGTTAGCCCAAACCAACAAACCTCAGTTTATTTTGAAATTGTTAATGAAATAGGATTTGGAAGCTGAATTAGTTACAGAATCTATGATTAAATGGATGCAGAATTAAGATGTTATCGACATGCAACAGTGGGAGTATAATACTCTGAGAAAACTAATATAAGATGTTTTGCAGCTGATGCATTATTTCAGTATCAATTGCTAAAATGGACAGTTCATTCTCTAAATATTGTTTAGAAATGTATTAACCAGGTTGAATTTTTTTTAACATGTTCGGTAACATTATTATAAGGCTCAACAATTTGGAACTCTTTAATAGCTGTTTTATTCCTTTTAAAATAATAATAGAAAAATAAAAAAGCAAAAGGAACAAAATAAAAAAATTCATTATTATAAAAAGTAATGTAAATATAAAATAAAAATATAAAGCTCAACAATTTGAAAAATTATTTATGCTATAATGAAACAAATTTAAAAATTAAAATTTTCTTTTCAATTTGCTATTTTTCAATATTGCTAAACCTTAATATTGTTCATGGAACTTGTCCAAGGATACTCTATACTTCCTATTGGAAATGTCTATGGAGATTCTCAGTCATCTGAAGAAGCTTCTTGGGTGAGAAATGAAACATCTTCAAGGAAAAAGAAAGAAAGTCCAGTTGCCTTTTGAAAAAGCACCTTTGGGACTTCCTATTGGAAAGTATGTACTTCTACCTCTGTAGAAGTATGGCTAATTAGGTTATAGGAATATGCCTTGATGTGCAAAATAACCTTATATCTTTTTTTAGTTATATAGTTTTATTCATTTATAACATAAAAATATGAAAATGCAAAAGCAAATACTAAGGAACAATGATAAGTGTTATGTCCTGGGCCGGCAGGCACAGGCTGCAGCGATTGGCCCAGGCAGACCATGTGGATGCCCAGGACAAGAAAGGCTGCTTCCAGCCTTTTGAAATGATTAGCCAGCAAGGTATTGTGCAGGGGGGCTATAAAAGGGGGGCACACCATTTTAAAAGCTGTTCTGTTGGTGTTGCAATAAAGGAGACTGTTGGAACTCGTTGCTTTGTCTCAATGCCTCTTTTCCTGAAACAGAACATTGGCGAGAAAGGTGGGATGCCTGCAAGGCAAACAGATTAAGAAGCCAAGCTGACTCACCACAGGGGGGCTTGCAGCTTGGAGAAGTGTGGCTCCTGGAGATTGCCTTAGCCTGCCAGCACTTAGACACTGGAGGTGAGCTCAGAAAAGGGGGCCCCTTCTCAATCCTTGCAGCAAGAGGCGTGGATGAAGTTCCTGGGCTGAAACGATGGCAAAGATAGACCGGCTTTCAGAATTTGACACAGCTCACCCAGAACGCTGGAGTTCATATGTAGCCCAGGTGGAGAACTACCTCCGGGTGAATCAAATTTGTGAAGATGACCTCAAAGCTGCCACGCTGCTGTGTGT